CTCAACCACACAAGGGAGAAGCCACATCGGTGTTCAGAATGTGGAAAGAGCTTTGTTTGGTCCTCTGAACTGGCCCGACACCAGCTCATCCACACAGGGGAGAAGCCACATCGGTGTTCAGAGTGTGGGAAGAGCTTCACTCGTTCCTCCCACTTGATCCGGCACCAGATCGTCCACACAAGGGAGAAGCCACATCGGTGCCCAGAGTGTGGGAAGAGCTTCACCCGCTCCTCCCACCTGATCCAGCACCAGATCATCCACACAAGGGAGAAGCCACATCGGTGCCCAGAGTGTGGGAAGAGCTTCACTCGCTCCTCCCACCTGATCCGGCACCGGCTCATCCACACAGGTGAGCAGCCACATCGGTGTTCGAAGTGTGGGAAGAGCTTTGTTTGCTTCTCTGAACTGGTCCGACACTATCTCATCCACACAGGGGAGAAGCTGCATCAGTGCTCTGTGTGTGGGAAGAGGTTCACCTGCTCATCTTACCTGGCCCAGCACCATTTCATACACACAAGGGAGAAACCACATCAGTGCTCAGAGTGTGGGAAGAGCTTCATCCGCTTCTGCCACTTGATCCGGCACCAGATCATCCACACAGGGAAGAAGCCACATTAGTGCTCGAAGTTTGGGAAGAGCTTCACCTAGTCCTCCAATCAGACCCAGCATAGGTTCATTCGCAGCCAAAAGCATCCATAATTCTCATAGCAATGCATGAAGGGCTTGGGGATATCCACCTGCTCGGTACCCACCAGTGGCTGCATTCAGGCAAGCAGCCTCGTGCTGGTGGACTGCAGCAAGGCTTCACCCAGCCTTTGGCCCTTCTAAGGTCCTTCAAAACCCAAAGGAACCAGAGGTTGGCCCCCAAGTTTTGATGCAGGGAGGAGTTAAGAGGAAGCACCTCAGGGAGAGGCCAGCTCAGATGCTGGAAGAACCTGTGTGGGACCTCTTTGCATCAGCCTCGGAGCCTGTGTCTTCACCATCATTCTCTAAAAGCAACGCTTCAAGGGGAAGAAGGGCCTTTACAATAGGGTGCCCTTCCCAAGACAACTGGCTCCAAATAACACCCAGGGACTGTCCGTGGCCAGCTCCCACCTTCCTCTTCCCTCCTGGCCCCAGGGTTCTGGTATGTGACACTTTTGAGTTGCAGGAAGAAGGACGTTTTATGGGTGGGGAAGCATTTCCTGCTCTCTCCACCCAGACCTCGACTTTCCTCCCCACCACATCACCTGAGCCCCGGGCCTGCACGTGCTGATTGTAATCTACCACCCCAAGTCCAGTTTGGTAGGTATTGCTTCTTATCCCCTCTTCTGAACTTTGCACCACCAGGTGCCAGCTGTCCCTCCTTCCCTTCATCCCGTTCTCTGTAATGGATTCCTTGCTAATCAAGCCCCAGGGCTGAACATGGTATCCCTATGGTTGGTCTGTGTCCTCTCTGGAGGTGCAAGATGGGAACAGACCAAGGCCCAGAACCCTTTCAGGGCAGATCTTTCTGGGATTTTCCAACGCCTATCCTTTCCAGAGCATTCAGCACAACCCAGGGGTTGTTGTTAGCCCTCAGGTGCAGGAGGTGCCATGTCCTGCTGTGTAGCAATGTCCTGGCCCTCTTCGTAGAGTCAGAACATGAAGTTTGGAAGGGATGTTAGGAGGTGACATCTAGTACAACCCCCTGCTCAAAGCAGGATTGTTCCCAACTAAATCATCCCAGCCAAGGCTTTGTCTAGCTGGGTCCTCAAGACCTCCACGGATGGAGACTCCAGCACTTCTCTGGGTCACCTGTTCCAGTGCTTTACAACCCTCCTTGTGAGTTTTTTTTTGTAATATCTAACCTCAACTTCCCCTGCTGCAGCTTGAGCCCTTTGCTCCTTTTTCTGTCACATGCCACCACTGAGAACAACCCAGCTCCAGCCACAGAAACCAACTTTTGAAGGAGCCTCTTGTCAGGGGCAGGAGAGTCTCACTTGTGGGTGAAATAGTGTAGCAGGGGTGAAAGAGATGCAGCCTGGGACAGGTCCTGCCTCTTCTGTCAAAGGGTGGGGAAAGAATGTGGGCATCCTGTGGGTGAAATGTAGTACATTGTAATGAACATCAACAAGTGGACTTTGGCTGCGTTGCCACAACAAGGATCAGGCCCTTCATAGCTCCCCCACTGGCCATCCCTGACATGCCAACATCTTACAAGTTGAGGTTGCGGGTGTTTTTGGTATTCTGCCCAAAATGTTGCTGACCCCTGACTGAAAGCATAGATTTCCACCAAACTAGAATGAGCAATAGATGGTCTACATCCGGGTAACGTGGGGCCTCTGCGCTTGGAAATCTGTGGTCTCACCAGATGACAAAGCTAAAATGTTAAACAATTTATTTGTCTCCATTTTTCTGAGCAGGGACCAGGTCAGCCCCCCAACCGGGATCCCCGGTGGTCCCAGGGGAGGCGCAGCCAGGCCCAGGGTCAGAGAGGACCTAGTCAGGGAACTTCTGGTGGGACTGGATGTGTTCAAATCAGCAGGTCCTGATGATCTCCACCCCCGAGTGCTGAGGGAATTAGCAGAGGTCATTGTGGGACCCCTGGCACGACTGTATGAGCACTCGTGGTGTTCTGGCGAGGTGCCAGAGGACTGGAAAAGGGCCAGTGTGATCCCCATTTTCAAAAAAGGGAGGAAGGAGGACCCAGGAAATCATAGGCCTGTTAGTCTTACCTCGGTCCTGGGGAAGCTGTTTGAGAGAATTATCCAGGTGCACATCTGTGAGTGGCCAGCAGGGGAGATTATGCTTAGTGGCAACCGACATAAGTTCATTCGAGGCAGGTCCTGCCAGACCAGCCTGGTGGCCTTCTACGACCAGGTCACAAAATCCTTGGACGCAGTTGTTGTGGCGGAGGTAGTCTTTCTGGACTTTAGGAAGGCCTTCAACACTGTCTTTCACCCCATTCTTGTTAAAAAATTAGGAGATTGTGGTGTCGATGCCTACACAGCCAGATGGGTTGCCAATTGGCTGGAGGGCCACACCCAGAGAGTGGTGGTGGACGGGTCATTTTTGACCTGGAGGGATGTGGGCAGTGGGGTCCCCCAGGGCTCGGTCCTCGGGCCCGCACTGTTCAACATCTTCGTTAGTGACTTGGACGAGGGGGTAAAAAGCACCCTGTTCAAATTTGCTGATGAAACTAAGAAGTGGGGGGATGTGGGCACATTAGAAAGGAGGAATAGGCTGCAATTGGACCTAGACAGGTTACAGGGGTGGGCGGATGAGAACAGGATGGGATTCAATGCTGACAAGTGCAAGGTGATGCACCTGGGGAGGA